AAAAAAAAAAAAAACCAGGAAAAACTAGGGTTCGCTGACTGGGCCTTGTAGTGGCATGCTTACCCCTATCGCTCGAAGTGCCTGGTACAACGTGGCTCGTTCGATACTGCTTCAATCAGGCCTGGGGAGGGAGGTGAGGACCTGCTTAGCCCTGATGCCTATAACCGCTGTACGGTCAAAGATCACTAGAATGGGTGATGATCCTGGGTATACTCAGGTAGGACCTTGGGAGTAGGGACGCGCCGGGGATCGTGCTGATGAGTAAAGGTGGGAAGGTGTCTCATAGGGGACCGTTAGGCAATACATCGGGATGATCAAATGGTCAGGTGCAGGCAGGACTGTCATATGCCTAGTAGCCAGCCTCTACAACAACCTGGACTTCCAAAACAAAAAAAAAAAAAAAAAAAACGCTAGTAGGAAGTACTTCAGCGAAGAACTCCGGTCACCATAGTGGCCACATTCAAAGAACAAGAAAGGGAGGGGGGTGGACATGGGCAAACCCTCTCTCACTCCCCTCTGCTTCCTTTTCTTTCCCTCTCGGGGTAACTTCAGGGTAGAGCAGTTGGCGTTGCAGCTCAAACGAGCGCATACCAACCCGCCTCATCGCAGGGTTCTGGCAAAAACGACCTCCCAGCATTTTGCCAGAAAAGATGGAGTTCCTTGCACAGTTGTCCCACTCAGCATCACTTCATCCTAGCCCCTGTTAGTGAACCACACCCCCCTAATTTTCCGAACTGTCTACACCTTATGTTACCTCTGCCTATACGTTTTCTTAAAGCACTAGTAGTCCAGCACCTCCGCCAGTACCTCCGCCAGTATTGGGAAAATAGGGAAAAGTTCAAAACTGGCAGTTTTCCCAAACTCCTAAAAAATTGGAGGCCAGATCCGACGAAGGCTGCCATTGATAAATCTCATCGGTGGCCGTCATTTCGTTTTGGCGGCTGTCGTTTCGTTTCGGCGTCCTAAAAGGTTGGAGGCCCACCCGAGGCCACCAGTACTTTTGACCCTTTCTTTGCCGGGCCTGGAAACGCCCTGCGCACCCAAAAGGGCCTGGACCGCAACGAACTCCAGACTCCGTACAAAGCAGGATGTACTTGGGGCTGACCACAATGGCTGGCTGGCACTGCCAGCCATTCAAGAAGAAAAAGGGTGCCTGCGCCTGTTCCTTTTTTTTTGGCGTGCAGCGCTTGGGAGGCTTGTAAAAAGCAGCCTCGGATGTATTTTTAATTTTTTAGTCGCTTAAAAGTTAAAACGTATTTTACGCAATTTCTTATTTGGCTTGCAGTGCTTGGGAGGCTTGTTAAAAACAGCCTCCGATGTATTGGTCGTTTAACATGTATTTTAAAGCCTGAAAGTTCACTTGGTTATGCATAATATGATAATAATATCTAATCCCTTTTTTCTTTTTTTCTTCTTCTTTTTTTAACCCCCCCCGTAAGTGTTAGTGGTGCTGAGAAGAGCAGACACCACTAGCACCTGGGGAGGGGCTCCATCTATTGGTGGGAAGCGTCACCTGCTGGAAAGCGGGTCCAGCGTCCCTTATACAGACTGAAATCGGAGTACGTCAGAACACAATTGTGGGATGTTCCTGCCAGCATTGATTACCCTGGAATCCAGGGGATTGACTGAGCAGGATTATTGGGAGAAAGGCGGAACCTCATCACGCTAATCTGGTGCCAGATACATCACTACACACTAGTTCCTCCCTTCTCCTGAGCCATATTGAGCCATACTGCTAGCTGGAAATTGGGTCCAGCATCCCATTGCCTGCCTGGGTGCCAGGCAGAGGGAACGGGAGGAGCCACTGGGGGGCACCAGTGGAACCTCCTTTCGTCCCCTTGCCTGCCCCAGGCAATATAGATTCTGTATACGTTCTTTTTTTTACGGTTTTTTTTTTTTTTTTTAAGAGAAGCAATCAGAGAAACAATTGTGGAGGTATTCCTGCCAGCATTGATTACTGTTACATGCACAGATATGCAATGTACGTAATAAACCGAGAATCTGCAATGTGATGAAAAGGACTGAATAGACAATGCGGTACGAGTAGGATCCCGACAAGAAATGTACATTCTCATTCATACATAAAGATGCTGAAGAGCGCAGGGAAGACTTTGGTACAAGACTGACCTGACAGGACTGACCTCATTCACGTAGCTCAGAGTAACGAAGCAGAATGCTAGAGTACCTCTAACTAGCCCAATCAATGTTTGAACTCAGACTAAACATGCATTGTATCCATCACGAAGTGTGAAGGAGCCTGGCGCTGCATACAGGGAGAAAGCGCCAGGTCCAGACATACACAGACGAAGAGATAGGAACAGACGAAAGGAGGGAAGAAGATGGGGATGTCGTTAACACCAAGTCTTGGTCACCAATCCCAAATAGTCCCTCGTTGCCATGTCTGACCCTCGAAAGTCGAGTCTGGAT